AATAGATACTCTGTTATGAGAGCACTTGGCAGCTATACACCTTTTAATATATTGTAAGCAAGTATGTGAAGTCTTTACTGAACCAAGAAAAACTCTGTGGCTTTGAATGTGAAAAGGTAACCATAATTTGTAGAACTAGCTGGTGCCCAAACAAACCAGGACTGTGCATAGAAAATTAATCATCATTAAACATTATCATGTGCACATCATGTCACGACTTTCACAACACACATAATATAATTATATTCGATATGGGGGGGTCACAGTTAGCGGTGACCCCCCCTTTTTGGTCAGAGGGGGGTCACATGACCCCCATGACCCCCCCTTGGATCCGCCACTGTCACATGGACAGTCAAATGTCACTGGGGGACAGCATTGCAGACACCCACTCTACATTGCGGTCTGGAGCCTTTTGTTGCCTGGATGGTCGGCCTTGTTCCGCGTCGGCCTCCGTCGGTATAACGTTGTCGGTAGGGACGGCGTAGCTCTCATCCGGTGGGATGAATTTCTTCTCCTCTGTGATGTTTCGTTTGTATGTCACGTTTCGTGGTGACTCAATCACAACGCTGTACTGGTCGAGTCTGAAGTCTGTGGTAAGTTTATCGACCTTTCTCTGCCTGACCAACACGGTGTCACCCGGTGCTATGTCACTGTCCCTAGCGTTTCTCCTGGCGTCGGCGTAGATTTTGCCTTCAATCATCTTCTCCCAGTCTCTGTCCCTCATTTCCCCGTCGTTCGGCACGAATTGACGGAGTTCTGGAAGTTTCGTCCGAATTGCTCTGCCGAAAAACAAGTTGCCTGGCGGTTTTCCAGTAACGCTGTGCGGAGTCGTGCGATAAGATCGGAGGTATGTCACTAGCTCAGTTCGCCAGTTTTTGCCTTCAGCCTGCTCGATCTTCATGGTTTTCAACATGGAGCGGTTTTAGCGTTCCACATTACCATTCGCCTGTGCCCACAATGGCGTAACCTTTCGATAGATAATGTTGTTCTCTGACAAGAATTAACTGAATGTTTCTGCTCTACACTGTGGTCCGTTGTCGATGGTGATGGTGAACGGTATAGTCCGTGACTTGCAAACATCTTTCTTAACAGCTCGATCATGCGCTTCGCGGTCACTGATGTTGTGATCTCCGCTTCGTAGTGTAACGTTGAAATGCGAGTTTATGTAGAAATGATGAAGTAGATCCAAATCCAGAACTTGTGTGGTAAACTGTATAACCTTTAATATCTTACACACATCACATCTCCTTACACACAGACAAAGACCGCTCACACGCGCGGTCGCGCGTGCGCATACTCTCGCGACCAACACCAGAATCCTCTCCCCTTACATCTCTCTTCTATATATATTCCCCCCAAAACTCCTACAAACATACTCCACGCACATGTACCCGTTCTCCCAGACCGCGTGCTACCCCCATTTCACAATGACCCTAGAAACTGCCTAACCTAAAACCGATTGCTTCCGAGTGCTAATTTTTGGCATAGCAGACAACGAGACATGTCGCGTTCGTTTAGCATCAAATTTGACAAAAAAGCCCTTTTATTTTCAGAAAAATATTCAATCCAATGCAAAATTTGACCCTTTTTTTTATGTCCGATCATGTGGCATTCTAAATTACCGAAAAATTGTATTCGACGTGCAATTTAAAAAAAAAATTTTTATTGATCACATAGAATATCAAGTTTCGCATAGGTGAATGCAATTTTATTCAATGTAAATCATTCTATTCAACTCTAGCGACTACTCGAACCATGCACCGACTTGGCATTCCACAAAGCAGACGGGCACCGGAATCGCCTTGAAGCCGGGAGGGTGAGGTCGAAGAAATCGCCAAAACTCAAAAACCGAACAGCGAATTAAACAAAAATTTTGCACCCGTGTGCAGCTGTGTTTGTCGGAACGAATTTTATTGCGTTTGACAGATTCCGAGAAAAAAACTATTCTATACAGACACGTGACCGCTACTAAATCACTACCGGTTCATTACCCTGTTAGGCAGGGCC